TCGATGCGTTCCGGCGCTGAGTACTGCTTGGCGACCGCTTTTTGGGCGTAGATGGACAGGCTGAAGCAGGCGAGGAGGGTAGGGTACGGCGGAAAAGGCGGATGCGAGAGAGTATCTCAGGGCTGCTGGTAGTCCCGAAAGAGAAGGCCGTTCAGGTGGAAGACGCGCGAGCTGCCGCTGTACAGAGGGCACTGCAGCAGGTGCTGGGGAAGCAGGATGTTGGGTTCCGTTCGATAGAACAGGAGCAGGCTTTGTACGCAGTGTTGGATAAGCAGACGCCACTAGTGGTGGTACTCCCAACAGGAGGGGGCAAGAGCTTGCTGTTTACGCTGCCGGCATGTATAGAGGAGAGTGGGGTGACGGTGGTAGTGGTGCCGTATCGGGCGTTGATTGAGGACTTGGTTGTTCAGGTTAGCAGCTATGGCGTTGACTGTATAGAGTGGAAGCATGGCGAGAACAACCCAGCGTCTGTGGTGTTTGTCAGCGCAGACGTAGTAGGCGACGTCACAAGCAACGGCAACTTTTTAGGGTATGCTCGGCTGCTGAGGGATAAGGGGCTACTGCAGCGGGTGGTGGTGGACGAGTGTCATCTGGTGTTTACATCACGGCACTGGCGGGAGAATCTGCTCAAGGTCAAGAACTTGCGGCTGCTGGGATGCCCGGTTGTATTGCTGACAGCAACGCTGCCGCCGGTGCAGGAGGGGGAGCTGGAGGCAAGCATGCTGGTGCGCAACGCAACGTACATCCGGGCGAGCACAACACGGCCGAACGCACGGTACTTTGTATCTTGGTGTCAGCGCGGAAAATTAGAAGATACAGCGTTAGTGGTGTGCAAGCGGTGGGCAGAGAAGCTGGGGCAGTGTGGACAGAAGGGGGTGGTGTACTGTCTAAGCAAGGAGCAGTGTGAGCGGATGGCTGAGGAGATTGGGTGTCCGCACTATCACGCTGATGTGGAGGAGCGAGGGGAGCGGCTACAGGAGTGGGTAGAGCAGGGAGGGCTGATTGTGGCTACGTCGGGGTTAGGGTTAGGGTTAGGGTTAGGGTTAGGGTTAGGGTTAGGGTTAGGGTTAGGGTTAGGGTTAGGGTTAGGGTTAGGGTTAGGGTTAGGGTTAGGGTTAGGGTTAGGGTTAGGGTTAGGG